AAAACCCTTTTTTTTATCAAAACAAGACTTCTACTAATGAACGCACTCGCTGTCAGTCACCTACACTACTCTGCAATCCTTTAAAAAATAATTTCAACAAGTTTGACAATCTGATTTGGAAAACAACTTAGCTGGGCAATTAAAACTTGTTGTGATTATGCAAAAATTCGCTTCGTCTTCTGATCTTATATTAAAACACAATGTATTACCAGTAGCAATGTTTCTTGACTGGAAAGTAGTTTTTCAATTCTGGATAATAAAACAGCACTTGTAACCAAATTACGACAAAGTTCAATATATAAGCAATCACATGAGCTTAAACTCAAGAAATGAAAAAAAATATTTTGTCGAAAGATTTAATAGACAATACATCAAAAACTTTTTTTTAAATCAGTAACAATTTGGAAATGATCACTTGATGACCAAATTAATTTCAAGAATATGCTTACATACAGAAAAGCACACAACTTGGCCGGTTTTTATCTTGTTTTAATAAAAAAGGGTTTTTTGACCGACTGTATTCTTTTAACCCCGCGGGCCTTTTCTGCACTGAAGCACCCGCCGGCCATTATTGCACTGAAGCATTCAGAAAAAAAATAGACAACAACTAAACTGTAGCATGTTCCTTACTGGATCTCTCTAAAGCATTTGATTCTATTGATCATACTTATCTTAAACAATAACTAAAAGGGTTAAATTTGCTAAAAGGGTTAAATAGCCGAAGAAGCTATAGAAATGATCAATTTCTTTATCACCAACCGAAATCAGAAAACAATTGTTAACAACACCGAATCCGATTGGATTACACTTGAGCAGGGTGTCCCACAGGGCACTGTCCTTGGCCCTCTAATATTACATTAACGATCTCAACAAACAAATTGACAAAACATGTAAAATAGTTCAATATGCGGATGATACATTACTATTCTGTGAAAATAACGATTCTTAAAAAGCTATTAAAACACTCGAAGCCAATTGCAGTCTATTGTCAAATTATTTTTTAGAACACTCACTTAAATTGAATGCAAAAAAACAGAACTCATCGTTTTCAGCAAAAAACATTCAAGGAAAAGGGATGAAAAGTGTACTATAACTCTAGATGATAAATTAATTGAGGAAAAAACCAATGTTAAATACCTAGGAGTAGTTTAAGATCAGTTTCTCACATTCCAAGATGAAATCAAAAATATTCTCAGGAAAATGGCACGCGTAATAAAAACACTTCAATCAATCAAAAAGCCATTGCCAGTGAAAACAAGACTCACGATAATGCATGCACTGGTAATTAGTCATTTGCATTACCCAGCAATTCTTTCAAGTGGAATATCCGCTAACCTAATGATATCTCTGGAAAAACAGTTAAACTGGGCAGTAAAAACTTGCTGCGATCGTGCAAAATACGACTCATCTTCAGACTTGAAGCTAAAACACAATATATTACCAGTAACAATGTTTCTGGACTATAAAATATTATGTCACTTTTGGAAAATACAACATCAATTATGGCCAGCCTATTATAACATTGAGTATGATAACCACCAAATAGATATTAATACAAGAAACAAAAAATTATATTTCGGCGACAGATACAATGGGCAATACATAGAAAATTCCTTCTTTAAAAAGTCCGTCATAATCTGGAACAAACTAACAGATGATAAAGTCAACTTTAAAGACATAGTAACATACAGAAAAGCAAAGATAAAATTCAAAAATTATTATTTATTATTATTTAAAGAAGACCCCTCTGTGGCAACTCATGGTAAAGTTTCATGGAAAAGCTTCAAGTTTATATAATAACATTTATTTATCAATCACCTTGAAGCTCTCAGGTGAAACGTAATCATCGATAATTGTAATCGAGTTTGTTTTGTTTATTGTTATTGTAACTATGTGTATCTAATGATGTTATAATATTTTAATGAACTGATAGGAAAAAAACAGAAAACATTTGACATACACTTGTGTATTGAAATTAATTTCGATGTGCAAATAAAGTGTTTTTTTTTTTTAACTTTTAAGAGGTATTTAAAAATGTAAATAACGAACGTTTTCGCACATTTGTGCATCATCAGGCTTAAGAGTATTAAAATTTTTTGTAAAATGATCATCGAGCATAAAATAATCTTAGTACATTGGCTATACATTGGCTAATTTTGTATAGCCAATGTCCTAGGATAATTTATGATCAATGATCATTTTACAAAAAAATTAAATATATTTAAACCTGATAATGCCCAAATGTGCGAAAACGTTCGTAATTTACAATTTTAAAAACCTCAAGAACTTTTAAGGATTATTATTTATTATTATTTAAAGAAGATGCAACAAATGGAAAAACTAGCAAAACAAGCAACCCACTGGAAAATTTTCACGGAGATATTCCAAATTTCTTTAATGGAAATCTCGTAAGATACCGATTTTATTATTAAATGCGTAAGTTTGTAATACTAATCTTGGGTGTATTTGGCAATAATTATCATCATTATCATTTACACTTGTACATTTGAAAATATTTTTAGCTGGCAAGAAAAGTCTTTTTTTTTAAACGAAGCTTCATGGCTTAGGGTAGTTTAGGGCGAGTAAAATGTCAATCCATTTCTTATGTGTTCAGTATGTAATTGTGAGATAAGATTCTATGGGAATGCAGCTTGATGGCGTCAGTAAGTTCTCCACCTGTGCGTTCTGGTTGAAACAATGACTATCTCTTGGCTTCTTCTCGTTGCACGTTTCGACAGCTATTGCAATTCTAGAAAGCGAATTTGCTCCGAGGATAATCATATGAGGGTCACCACAGCTGCCCTCTGTTAATTAATGTCATGATTGTTGTTCCAGATTGAGTTGGGTTAATAATATATTCTGTACAAGATCAACTGTTTTTCATCGTAGCAGGAGAAGCATTCTGATGGGTTCTTTCAAGTCACCGCCTGTGTGGGGCGCAAATGTGCCATTTGACTTCTGGTTGAATGAAGTCAAAGTTTGGCAAGCAGTTACAGACCTAACGGTGAAGAAGCAAGGTCTTGCAGTTGCTCTTTCTTTGCAAGGAAGACGCAGAGATGTTGCTCTTGAAATCCCGATTGCTCAATTGGGCGCTGACGATGGTTTAGACCAACTTCTAGTCAATCTGAAGGACGTTTTCGGAAACGAAACGGTCGACCAACAGTAGTAGTAGTAGTAGTAGTAGAATAGGCTTCAGAGCATTAGCTCTAGGGAATTTCACCCCTTTTACAGTCCATGTTTTATCTCAGTTTGTTGTAAACATTGCAGTTTCCACATCTGCATAAGAGTTTCCATGTACATTTGTTGACTTCACTGTACATTTTTTTGAAGTATTTCTGGTATATGTAGGTCAGAGTCGCTTCGCTTGGTCTAAGGCTAAAAGTTGGGCAGGCTCGGATAAGACAGTTGTATAGATGTTTCACTCGTCTGAAAAAATTGTCGTCCGTTCTTTGCAAGCGGCTTTTTGGGATTTGAAATTCGCCTCTTGATGACTGTCGGGTGATTTTGCATGATTCAGATGGTTTTCGTTCTATTTCTACCTACATCGTAACGATTTTCAAGCAGGGCTATTAGTATTAAAATGTCGTGCATTTCCATGTATAGGTTCAAAGGAAGAAGGTTCAGGTCCTTCAGTCTTTCAGTATAAGTTTTGCTTGTCCCAAAAATCCATTTTGTTGCTAACTTTTGAACTCGTTCGAGTTGTTCCATGTTCGATTTGCTAGGAGTCCATGCTTGGGATGCGTATGTTACTATGGGTACTACATACCCAGTATATGCGTTAAGCCTGGTGGTCACACTGCTTTTCATAGTCAGACTTCGTTTAATCTGGTAGAGAGCACTAATTGCTTTGGATGTCCGACGAGAGCAATTTTCGTTCCATGTGAGCTTGTTGGACACAATCAGTCCTAGGTCACGCTGTGAGTTTACTGAGGAAAGATTTTTGTTCAGGAGACTAGCTTTTAAATCACCTTTGATGCCGAGGAGCGTTGATTTTTTGATGTTGGGTTGCATTTTGTTTTCATGTAGCCATTTCTCTGTTTTTCAGAGTTGCAGTGTCAAGGGAAGTTTGATTTAGTAGAATGGCCTTAAAGTCATCTGCGTACCCAAAACTGTCTGTGTCATTCATGGTTTCAGGTAGATCGTTTATGAAAAGTAAGAACAGCAGCGGTCCCAGAATTGAACCTTGCGGAACTCCACTGGTGACTTCTTTTAGGGTGGAGCTACAGTCTTCAATCTTAACGCATTGCTTTCTGTTGTTGAGGTATGAATATATGAGTGACAGCAATTTCCCGCCAATTCCAAAAATTTTGATCTTCGTAAGCAGAATATCATGAGGTACAGTGTCGAATGCCTTGGTACAGTATGAAGCGTACGAGCTTTTTGAGTCCATGAGAAGGTCTTCTGATAGCGTTGTTCCTGAATATATACAGGATTTTGAACGAAATTACTACCGTATCAAACGTCATGGTATGGAGCTCCCAGATAGCGTTCTGGCATGTAAATTGCTCCATGGAGCGTGTCTTGAGCTGCCCGAAGGTCGGATGGTCTTGGCTAGTGCCAACAAGTTGGAATATTCGCAGATGAAAGCAAAGCGGCTCTGAGACGTATATTTGGTGTACATTGGAGTGCAAATTCTGACGTTTCTAGAGTTACAAAAGATGAACCCGCTTTTGCTGCGACTGCAGATGATAACGAGGAAAATGGAGCTGCATTTGCAACGAAACGAAAACAGTATCAGAAACATGCTTATAACAAGGCGAAAAAACCCAGGTTTGGAGCCAAAACTGAAAAAAAAACCGTAGACAAGTCGGGAAGAGTGACAGACAACCTGTGGTATTTGTGGCTCTCGCAACCACTGGGTTCGCAAATGCCCCGACAGAACAAAATGGAGAAGCGGATAATTTCATTTCAAGATTATCACAAATGGGCTTAGTATACTACACCCATTAACTTATAGACCCCTCATATCAAAAGACATATGTTAACTGTGTTTCAGGTTAAATGAGACTATCCCACAATAAGTTAAGATCAGTAACGCGTGACGATGAATGAATTTGCCTCTGTTGTTTTGTTTGTATCCCTAGCACAGTTTTTCGAAGAGGTCACGAGTGAGCTGGTCTACCTGCAAGCAGTGAGTAGAAATACCTTAAATGAATCAAGAAATGCCCTCTATTGCTTATTTCATTCGGTAAATTGCAATCAATCGTTTCTTTAATTGTTAGTTTTTTTTTACTATTCGTAGTTTCTATCCTGCTCTTTGTCTCCCAACCTTTGCATGTTCTAGGTATGCAGACATGGAGATCGTGCGCCTATTGAGTTCCACCCAAACTATCAACATATTGAAAAGTGGAATATGGGAAGAGGCAGACTGACTGAAAAGGGCATGGACCAATGCTACTTGAACGGAAGGATGTACAGAAATCATTACCAGAAATTGTTCAGTGAACCATATAACCCCAACGAGGTACTGAATAAATAGCTGCACAGGTTGACGAAATCAAAAATAGATACGTAGCGTGCACATTGCATCTCAGATATGCTCCGATCGCTCGCTCACGGAATCAGTCATATTTTGTATCATAAGAAACCCCTTGTATGTGATGACCCAATTTGAAGTAAATGTCTCAAATCAGCATTTAATTGTTTTCGACGGTTTTCCTGTAAAGAACCCAGTGATTTCCTTCGAGAGTGCTTTTCACTTTAAAAAATAAATTTTTTGATTGCCAAGTTAAAATAGTTTCAAATGTGCAAGTGTATGTTATATATTAATGAAATAGATTACAATACTAACAAGGTATAATTTTAAAATCTATAACATAGATCAACAAATAGAGTGACTGTTTTTCTTGAATGAACTTGAAATTTTTCCACGATAATTTACCATAGGTTGCCACTGATGGATCTCCTTAAATAAATAAAGAGTAGTTCTCAATTTTGATCTTCGCTCGTCTGTTTGTTAGTATATGCCACAAGTTGAGTTTTCATCTTTAATCGTATTCCATATCATTACTCATCTTTCAGAAAACGATTGTTCTTTGTATTGTCCGTTTATCTTTCTACGATGTATAATTTTTCGTTCTCGTATTTGTGTCGATTTGGAAGTTGTCCTACTGAATTTTTGAATAAGCAGGTAACAGTTGATCGTTTTTCCAAAAATGGCATATTAGTTTCCATTCAAGGAACTTGCACATAGGCATAATTTTATTTCTTAAAAATCAGTCGATGAGTCAAACTTAGCAAGATCACAGCACATTTTTATGGCACAACTCTCTTGTTTTTCAAATAATAATGATAAATTTGCTAATTTTCCGCTCAGAAGAATGGTCGGATAATGTAGATGACTTGTAACTAGTGCGTTTTTGATTAATAGGCGAGTTTTGATTAGGAGGGGTTTTTTGATTGATGGCCTTGTTTTGATTCTTCAGGCCATATTTCTAAAACTACAAATTTTTGGTATTCGAAATTGTTTTTTTTTCTATGATGTTTTGGTCTAGTGTACTGGAAAGTTTTTTTTCGTGGTTTCGAAAATTTTTAAATTTTGCTATGTGTAGTAAAATCACTTTATAATGTTCAATCTTTTATATATTTAAATGCGGGATTCTTTATCTTGCCATGCTTCAGCTTTTTCAACGTAATATTTTTGCTTGTTTAACAAAAGAATTTTTTCACGTTTAAGCTATATCGTTTTTTGCAATGGTTAAGAGCTTTTTTCTTTTTTCCTGTTTGAATTCAGTGTTTATATCACCAATTTTTAAATTAGCAACCCAATAATGGGATGCTGTCAAGATTTCCCCGGGTGTTGCGATTTTGACCTCCTTTTATGTATGAAAAAAAAAATCCTTTTATGTTACGAGATACGGCTATTTTCGAGATTTTTCTAAAACTTCCTGAAAACTTAATCGTTCTCAACGAAATTCTCAACCCTGTAGTTGGGGGCTGTCAGGGTACTGGATTACTAATCTTGCCTTCAAATTTCACTTCTCAAATCTTTGTAATTTTCGAGATGTGACCTTTTTTATGATTTAAAAATAAAAAAAACTTAATTTTAAACTCATTTTTCAAATTTTGAATTTCTAACACTGTTTTTGGGGGCTGTCAGATTAGTGTCAGGGGTTCCGAATCTTGCCTCCAAACAGGGATGCTCAATTATTTGTTGTTTTTGAGATATTACGTTTTTTGTTTTTGTCTCTAAAAACTTTCAGAAAACTTAAATTGAATGTTTTTCTTTCAAAATTTAAAATTTCTAACCCTTTAGTGGGTGCTGTCAAAGTACTCTCAGGGGTTTTCAAAAAACTTAGAATAAAAAAGTTCGATAACTCTGATGATCTCAATCATGTTGTTGGAATCTGTGACGGTTTTATCAGGAGTTGCGAATCTTCCCTCTGAATACGACTGCTCTAGTCCGTGTACTTTTCGAGATTTGACGTTTATTGTGATTGTTTCCAAAATATTTCAGATTTTCGAATATATTCTTTTCAAAGTTTGAAGTTCTATCGCTTTAGTTGAGGGCTGTCGAAGTGCTCTCAGAAATGGCGAATCTTGCCTCCAAATATGGCTGCTCAAATTTTTTGAATTTTTCGAGATGGTTTTTTATGGTTTTTGAAGTTTTATTTTTAGAAAACTTTAATTGGAAAAATTCTCAATTGGAAATTCCTAGCCCTTTAGTTGGGTTTTGTGACAGTACTCTCATGAGTTGCAAATGCTCTTTTTTAAGCTTCCGAAATTTGACTTCTCTTCGTTCCTTTTAATTTTTTTAAAGTTTTTTGATACTAAATTTAATCACAAAAATTCTTCATTCGGATTTTTTACCAGCGTTGAGTGGAAGATGAACTTGTAAATCATAATACTTAAAGGCCACTGCGGTCCTTTCACATTCCAGCACAAGCACATAAGGACGGTTGCAATGGAATAAACGCGCATCTGGTTTTCCTTTTCTATGAATATCTGAAAAACATTATCTTCCCCAAAAGCTTGAAAAAGTTTTAAAAGCAAGTGCAATAGTAATAATGGTTTCTTTCATCAGCAACCGACAAAAGAAAAGAATTCTCTAAAACATTGAATCAATTTTAATTTCATTGCACCTAGGTGCTGCTCTGGATACCGTTTTGGGAACTCCGTTTTTTTAATCTGTCAAGTACTGAACTCGTCATCGGCATACTGTACTACTTTCTTAAATTCGGTAATTGCTTAACTGGTTGATATACAGATTAAACCCAGAGGTCACGAAGCGGTATCCTGAGGAGCACCCTGGTGCAATGAAATCAAATTTGGTTCAATATTGTTGACAATTGTTTTCTTTAGTCGGTTGCTGATGAAAGAAATCATGATTACTATTGCACTTTCAGAAAAGTTCAAAACTTTGACTTTTTGTTGTAGAAACTTGCGATCCATAGAGTCTTTTGCTTTAAAAAAGTCTTATAATGACCAAGCAACAAACTTATTCCTATCAATTGATTCTCCGAGGTTAAGAAACGCATATGTGTTGCTTAGCTGGTTTTGCCATGAAAGATGTTACTTTATTTAATTTTATAAATATTTTTCTTTGCGGTAATGCACCTGTAATTGAGGTTGGCTTATAATTCTCTGCTTCTTTCGGATTGTTTTTTTTGCATAATGCTGTACAAATGCCTTTTAAGCTTTTGGGGAAAGATATTGTCTTTCAGATATTCATTGAAAAGGAAATTCAGATGCGCGTTTTTTTTTCATTGCAACTGTCCTTATGTGCTTGTGCTGGAATTTCAAAGGACCTCAATGGCTTTTAAGTCTTATGATTTATGAAATTTCTTTTTGTGATTTAATTTAATATCATCTTTGAAGAAAGAGGGGTGGTTGTATTTTATCATAAAATTAGCCTTAAGTTGAAAAATTGTTGTTCAGCAGATTTGCTGTTTGAAAATTGCTTGTAACTATTTCTCTGAAAGATTTTTTTGAAGAGAAACGTAATTCGCTGGTTTTTTTGAGTTTCTATGATCATTGTTAACATAGTTTTTTTTTCACGCTCAGTTTTTCTTGAGCTGACAAGCTGTAATATGAAATATTCATCATGGTGTTTCACTCTAAATTTATTATTACGAATAAAGATTGATTTCTGTGGATCATCTTAGCGGATCTATTTTGAGGATTTTTACGGGTAAACGTTGATTGAAGTGTTTTATATCGTAGATTTTTTATTTAATTGGCTTAGTTTTAGCAGCAAGTCTTAGTTCAGTTATAGAAATTGTGGCTGAGTGGTCTGTTTTGATGTATGGCCTGAGTACCATTGATATACTTGATTTATCTTTTAAACATGAATCAGAGAAAATATAGTCTATCCGTGTTATGGAATAGTTTGGTACTGTTTTGTTTGTAACGTCAAGATTGTAAGGAACAAGGATTATTTCAAAAGACTCTTTTGTCTGGACTAAGGTAATTCAGTTTTTAACCCAACCCCCATTAAGTCTAAATTGCGTTTCTAGGATTGCGCATTGTCAATTGATTTAGCAAGTTCATCAAAAAAATCAACTTTATGTTTTGGACGGGTTATAAAATATATTTAGAAGCGTTTTCATATATTTTTTTAGGAGCATAACCCCACCATCTTTTGATTTTTACTGGCTCCCATAGGTCTACCGCATCGAAAAGTAATGTGTGTGTAATACCAAGAGTCCATAGAATATGGTCGTCTGACTCATTGAATCAATTTTCCGAGACGCGGAAAATTTTGTTTTCGCCAATTGTTTTCACAAGTGGTTTCAGATCTGAACATTTACTTGCCAAACTTTTACAGTTGAAATGAAAGACAGATGTTTTTTCCTAGTGGACCAGTTTTTTGATGCTTTTTTAGTTTATTGATGGACACTGATATGGTTGAATATCACCTGATTCAAGAATTGAATTTTTCTTTGACCGAGAAAAGGCGCTGTTAAATTCAGTTGTTGTTGGTTTTAAATAAAATATAATAGAAATATGTAAGTAGAAAAGTAGTTAAAGAGTATTACTCTATAGTGCACTTGAGAGGCTCTAGAACATAAATAAAAGTGCGCTTGAGAGGCACTACGTAAATTTCATTGGAATAAATTGTGGAAATCCATGTTTTATTTGATCGTTTTCAAGTTTTATATGGTTGGTTATCAATTGTTCAGTTTCACATGAATGATAACAGTGATGCTAGTTAAGACTAAGAGAAGATTCATTTAAATTAAATACCAGACATATTAAAAGAAATTGTTTAATCAGTAGCGATAATGGCCCTGTACATGAGTTTATAGTGAAAGATATTATCCTCCCAAAGTTTTGATGAGAAGTACGGGGCCGTGAAGAAGGTTAGTTGCGATTAGTTGAGCTTTTTTGAGTGCGACTTTTTTTTATTGTGCAGGCTGTTTGAGTTTTGACATACAAGTGCACGGAGGTCATTGGGGAAAATGGGTACACATTGATCATTATTAAGATGAATGTTATCCCAATGTAGAAAGCTCCACTTTGTGAAACTTCGAATCATTTCATTGGTTTCAAGCACTTGAAAACCTTGTTTGCTACAGTATGTATCGTTCAAATACTCATTATTTATTCCAACCTTAGAATTTTCCTCCTCATTGTTTAAAATTGGAGATATCGGGCTTTCTACAATCATTTTAGGCGTAAACTATTTGGTAATTTTATCAATCAGCTTCTTGTTTGATTGCAAACTCGTTCAAGTTATCATATTTCGGGATGAAATTGGTGTCATCTTGGACCACAACACCTATAAGATCAGTTGATGGATATTCACTCAATACTTTTTTTTTCTTCAGTGCTACTGCTTCTATAAGATTGAATTCTTCAACGAGCTGTGATACTGGACCCTAAAATTAAGTCTTGGAAGATTTTGAAAGGTTCAAACTCACGTATTTTGGCGTTGGCAGTCTGGCTAGTTGTGTCTGTTGTAGATCTCCCTTTCAAACTTGATAGATCTCCCGTTTTTGTGATTACTTCAATGATTTCCCTGTAATCTTCTTTTTGGTCATAAAGATAATAATAAATTTTGTGAAGAACTTGTTTGCTTAGCTTATTGTGACTAAATTCTGACAAAATGATTAATTACTGGTAACTTCATTTTTTACGTATCAATTTTTTGTCTATAGAAAAATGAGAAGTGCTTACTAAATTGAAAAAAAAAACTGATATTGTCTACTTAATCATTCATTTTGCTGCTAACGGGAATCGGGTAAAGTGACCCGATTTTTAACTTGAATTTGCCGATCATTGAGAATCGGGTATTTTCTGGTTTATTAAATTGAAGAATCATATTAACGTCTACACAGGCGAATTTGTTTTTGCCCTTTCACCTGACTCAAAATCTATTACACTTATTTTGCTGTTAACGAGAATTAGGTAAACGGACTGGATTTTTTTACATTTTAATTAGCAGTTCAATGGGAATCTGGTAATTTCTTTTAACGAATGAAGAGTACTTTTAAATTGAAAAATGATGTCTACGAAGGAGAATTTGTTTTATTACTTTTTAAGTGGACTCAAATTTAAGTTTCAATTCAATGATTGCTTTTTCAACTTCTTCATTCCAAAAAATTATCGAGTTTTCATATTTGAATTGTTTGATTGTCACTCATTTTCGCTAATTATCGTGTTGTTGTGAGTTGAGAAAATTTTCATTGGTAAGCGGGCATTTTTTTGAGTTAGAATTTTTCCATCAATGTTAAGACATGAAAATATCAAAAGTGTCTATATTTGAGGTTTAGTTGGTTGTCACACTCTCACCCCATTTCAATTCTGTCACCATTATACACCATTTCCATTCCAAGAAGTTTCCAGTTTAATTGGTGGAGCAAACGTCCCCAAATCACGCTAACTCTTAGCCAATCAGGGCCCCAAATCACGCTAAATATGAGCAAATATAACAATTAGTACTATCAAAAAAACGCCGCGTGATCTTTTTCAAAATTTTTTGTAAAACGTAGATAACATACCTCATTTACATTATCTTATTTTATACTTTGATTGCCATCACTGAGGATTTAAATTGAACAATTTTGAAGCCTTCTGTTTGCATTAGGTTCCTGTTAGTTTCTTGGGACCCTTCTATCGCTTTTATACTGGAAATGGAGTAGAACTAAAAAAAACATGTCTTTTTCAATGAACTGTTTTGTTGCGCATGTTGAAATTATTTTTAGTTAGAAGTTTTTTGTTAGGCGTAGTGTCAATGATTAAGGTCATTATATTATTCAAGGCATCTGGATTTTCAATTTTTTTTGTCACGAAAAAGACATAAGTTTCTCACGCTCTTATTTATTTTCGCGGTCCTGCTTGATTTTTAGCTTAGTTCAAATTTGTTCCATCTGCTTAACAATCCCTCAATGTTAGCTACTGAAGAGTTGCCAAACCTATAAATAAAAGCAGTAATTTAGCACCACAGCGTGGTATTTAAAATTCAATTTTTGCTGCAATCTGATTGGTCGAAATTTCGCTCATTTAACCTGCTTAACAATCGCACCTGCTTTTACTAAAGCGACGAGTTTAAGTAGATCCAATTTATTTGCTGAAGGATGGACAAACTATGCTCTCCAATAAAAACATTGCAAATGACGCTAAAAACGTATTTGACTGAATTGGTGAAATCTTCTGCAGCGATTGTTCTCATGTTCGCTGTATTTGGTTGCCTCTTTTGATTTTGGAAAGCGGTTTTTGTTCCGACCACTTCACCAAGAGGGAGGGAACTATGGAGTAGGGTGGGTTTTTTACCGCCTGTTTATAGTACCTAAATAAAAGCTCGGAGGTCATGAGTGTTAAATTCCCCATACTACCAATAGTTGACCCTAAATTTGATGAGAGGTTTACCTCCGAATATAATTCTTCTACAGTTTTTTTGTAGTTAAACTTTTATGTCCTCGAGTTCTGCCTGCCTTCACAAAAAAATTGACAGTAAAATTTTTGTTTTCTTAAACTATTTCAAACCATTGCGGTTGAAACATTCTATGCTACTTGCACAGCAACCGGATTTCCTGGTTATTATTGATTTTTGAATTTTAGATGATAATTCAGAGTTCGCATATTGACCGAACCATAACAAGTGGGCAATCGTTTGCAGCTGGGTTCCTTGGATCGGGTTACTTGCCGGAAGTTTCCAATACCGGAAAATATGTGCCATATCCTGTTCATTCCATATCTGATGAAGTCGATTATGTAAGTTTATTTATGATAAGCATCAAACTGAGGTGTGGGTGCTATATTAGCATTGGTAGCGGTAACGTTTAAACTACGCATGCGTTAAATGAATTACTATTACTATAATGCATATAAAATATTGAATCAATATATAGTGGTTTATATGCATAAATTACTGATAATTTTTTGAGCAGTTTTAAATGTATAACTTAAAGTTATATGTCAAGTATTTGTTGATAGTTTTTTTTTAATCTTCACTTATTGAAGTGTGACAAAAAGCGATTTACGTGTGAACTTCAATTAAAAGTCAGACCTGCTATCTATGCTAATTTATCTTTCAAATCATTTAAATCTCAAATCATTGCGGATCATTTAGTTTTTTGGCACTATATTTTTCTATTAAATGCTTGCAAAATTGATTTCCGCCGTCAAAATTAGCCATTTGAACTTTGGCGTTAACTATCATGATGCAGTAAGTGCGCTAGGTCCTGTTTTGGTTTAATTTTGACTGTTTAGTATCTTGCTGGCGCAGGAAGAATCTGTGCACAGCTAATCTCAATCTTCGAAGATTACACAGCTTCGCAACACTACTCGTTGTTTGTCGCCGAAAACCAAGAGAAAATAGGTCATGTGTGTGAAAAGGCAGGTTACCCTTTGAAAGAGTGGAGTCTAACGTCTGTGTGTCGCCTGGCTGACACCTTTACGTGTGACGTGAGTGTAAAGAAGTCAAGTAATCTATTATATATTTAAATGCGGGCTTCACTATCTCGCCATGTTTAAGATTTTTCAACGTATGTTTAAGCTATATGGTATATTGCAATGGTTAAGATTTTTTTTCGATTTTCCAGTTTGATTTTAGTGGTTTTTGCACCTAGTTTAAAATAAGCAGCCCAATATTGGGATGCTGTCCGGATTCACCAAGGGGTTGCAAATTCGGCCTCCAATTTTGAATGGCCAAATTTTTTTTAGTTAATGAGATAAGACGATTTTGGTGATTTTTTCAAAAATTTTCAGAAAGCTTAAATTAATTTTTTTTTTCAAAATTCGAAATTTCCAACCCCGTAGTTAGGTGCTGTCAGGGTACTCCAAGGAGTTGGGAAAACTTGCCTCCAGATGTGACTGTTCAAATCTTTGTATTTTTCGAGATATGACGTTTTTTGTGATTTTTTTCAAAAAATATTCAGAAAACTTATATCAATTTTTTTTTCGCAAAAGCTGAAATTCCCAACCCTGTATTTGGGTTCTGCCAGAGTACTCTCAAGGATTCCGAATCTTGCCTCCAAATATGACTGCCCAATTCTTTGTTTTTCGAGATATGACGTTTTTTGTGATTTTTTCAAAAAATATTCACAAAACTTATATCAATTTTTTTCGTTAAGTTTGAAATTCCCAACCCTGTAGTTGGGTTGTGACAGTGTACTATTAAGGATTGCGAATCTTGCCTCCAATTATGACTCCTCAAATCCTTGTGCTTTTCGAGATGTGACGTTTTTTGTGATTTTTTCAAAATTTTCAGAAAACCTAAATTTATTATTTTTCAAAGTTTGAAATTCTCAACCCTGTGGTTGCGTTCTTTCGGGGTGTTGCAAATCTTGCCTCCAAATATGACTGTTCAATTCCTTGTAGTTTTCGAGATATGACGTTTTTTGTGATTTTTCATAATTTGAAATTCCTAACTTTGTAGTTGAGTGCTCAAATCTTTTTAGTTTCCGAGATAAGACGTTTTTTTTTCTATGATTTATTCAATTTTTGTCGAGAATCCTAAGTTAAAAAAAATCTCGAAATTTGAAATTCCCAACCGTATAGTAGGGTGCAATCAGGGGCTCTCAGTGGTTGCAAATCTGGCCTCCAAATTTCTCCAGTGGCCCATTAAGTTTTCAAGATGATGCTTCTATGGTTTTTCAAAATGGGAATTAAAAAAATTAAGTTTGAAATTACAATTCCTGTAATTGGGTGCAGTCAGAGTACACTAAAAGATTCGATTATCATAAATTAATCGTTATTCAATAATCATGAATGTTTTTTTTTGCTTCTAAAAATCAAGATTATGATCTGTCACATCCCATAATTCAAATTATGATTGTGCAACATGATTCATTACAACAACGCCTACTTGACCTACCTGTTTCGGCCTGAATCGCCAAAAACAGAAACAGAGCAAACAAATGGAAAAAAATGTTGACAGGGGAAACATTTACTACCCAAACTATCAATTGGTGCTTTCATTACCCTGCATTGCAACGGGGTGCTCTTTTCCCGAAAAGAACTTAATTCACTGAGCTCGCTCTTGAAAATGTTACACGTGTTGCAACTTGCCTTCTTACACAAGCCAGCTAGTAAGCGTAGTGTGACATTACGAAGTCGGCTTTTTTTCAACCCAAATAAGGCATTTTCAACCCAACTTTTTTCAAACTAGTGCTCATTTGGTCGCATTTTTTTGGCATAGCATTGGCAGTTAAATACCATCTATTGTATCTGTTACATTGGTTGCTATGGTTTGACAATTACCAAGCGACTATGGCGTAGATGTGACGACGTGATACACTCAATCTATAGGTCTGGGATTCAATTTAGGCACAAGTCGACCGTTTTATTGCTGACTTAAACCGTTTTTCCTAATTTCACTTTTCAAACCTTTTAGAGCAACTTTTTGCCTTTGCTACTTGCTGATGTTATTATATTTGCGAAGTAGCTGAGCGGTAATGTGTGTAATCTCGGTTCTGTTCTGTCTACAAAAGAAGCAGAATTGCAGAAGACAACGTGACAGAATTGATGGATGTGTGGCCTCAGACGAGGAGTCATTAAGTTGTATAAAAAAGCTCAATTTGCTTTTGTATATGAAGTTATGTAGAATTTCTTTTTATTTTTTCGATTTAGAAAGCACATGGTTTGAGTTTACCCGACTGGTTGGACGAGGATACGTGGCAAACTATCTTGAACATATCACAAAAGGCAAGAGAGCTGAGACTGACTTACCCAGGAGTCAAAACATACCAAGTGGGCGGAGGTAAGTGCTTCTATCAGTTTCCGTTAGAGAACAGGTTGAATCGGTAATACTTGTCATATATGTAGTATCGGAATGATTCTCAATTATATTGTGGTGTGACAATAATATTTTGAACTGTTTTGAAAACTAACTCAATAACTTAAGATTTTTAGCCGAACAGTTTCCGGCAGCAAATCGCCGGCCAGTGTTTTTTATTAACTTGCAAACTGTAGATGGATATGTTTTTTGTTCAAATTCTCGTAAGATCCTATGTTTGAATAAATTTCAGTTGTTGATTTTTCAGGAGGCTTCATTCATCTGCTACTTGAAAACTTGAGGGGATTTGTCAATGGAACACAAAATGAAACAGTTTTCAACCTCTATTACGCCGTGAGTTTTTTAATTTTGAATTGATCAGCGGCAATATTGCGACCTTAAAATCATTTCGTATCAAAGTTGCGCTGAAGCTGGAAAGTAAATGCAAATTTTATTATTCGTGTCTGTTTTTAGCACGACAATACCTTGCTGGGATTTCTGACCAATTTGAATTACGACGACTTGCGGTCGAATCCGGTTTATACAAGTTGCATCAACATAGAACTTCACTACACGAATGATCGGTAAGTTAATTCTTCTTGTGAGAGCCATCTGATATTCAGTTGACAGGTTTCAGTTTGTTATTTTGATGCAAGTTCAGTTTTCGCCAGATGGAAATAGAAAACTTGAATAAATGAAAAGGAAAAGGTTTTGTTTCTCTTATAGCCAGTGAAAGTTTTTGGGCATGGCCAAATGCAATGTGATTGCCGATCAGTATACCCTGGTGGATTGTTGATTTCCATAATATTTTGAACAACACCTGGAATTAAGATCAGTTATTGGCTAACGTTTTCCGCTTATTGCTCCATAGACCAGTAAAAAGAAGATTTACAACACACGGTGCAGTTTTTTAAATAATTTAGGTAGGGGCATAATGTGTGTGTGTGTGTGTGTGTGTGTGTGTGTGTGTGTGCGTGTGTGGGGGGGGGTGGACTAAATTGTTAAAGAGCCAGTTTTGGTTTCAGATTTTTAGTTGACGTTCTGTACAAGAACGAGAGTGAAAGTATGACCATGCATAGACTGGTGCCTTGGGGATGTCCTCAGAATGAGTCATGTCTGCTGGAGAATTTCTTCATATCCATGGAGGGTCTGGAGAACCCTGACCCAGCTGCCGCCTGTAGACCCACAGACATAGTGATCCAGTTGACATTCACTGCATGTTAGCTCAAATTGTTAATTCCCAGTCTTAGCCACTTCAACTTAAATATTTAAAGTGTATAGTAAATTGGTTTCGATTAACAGATTGGCACAGAATGTTCGAGAGAAAATTTTAATTCGAATAATTTTGGGATGTAATTTTCCACGCGATGCATTTTAATTTTTTTTGGTAGATGGTACTTTTTAGAAATTAGTTTTAGAAGGCTAGCAAAGTCTATTGGTACTGTTTTAGTGGTTTAGAATTCTCTGTTTTTTTTAAAGAAATCAAACAAAAAAGTCCAGATAATTAAAAAAAATCGTTTTTACACAGGCAAACGCTTGTCTAACAGTACTTGCAGTGTACTAATATTACTTTGTGCTCCATTTCATTGGTGATCGATTCGATTTAGTAGCATATGTCTTATCCGCTTTTCCAGTGCTGATTTAGGTTATCCGGACAAAACTTGAAGTTCAAAACGCGCATTTTTCTCAAATTAGGTTGACACTAGACAGAAATTCATCAAAGTTGCTAAGATTTTCAAGTCAAATCAAGTCAAGTTTTTTTATGACCATTAGGCAGTGCCTCTTGTGGTCAATTCAAATGTTTTTTCCTATCTCCGTTCGAATTCGTACATGTCAATTCCAATCGCTTTCCAATGTTTGTCCAGTTTCCACTTGAATTCGTCGATGGTCTTGCAACAGAATTAATATTGGTACATTTTTTTGCAAAATTCAGACCCAAAATTTTACCACAAAAACGGGTCATTCTGGCTTTTTTCTAGCGTCTAAAAATAAAACTTAAAACTTAAATCAAAGGGAGCCTCTTAGCCCAGCAAAATTATTTAGGAAATTACGAATGTGCAAATGGCGCCCAGATGTTACCCAGAGGTTAAAAAAAATTTTGATCCGTTTTTTTCCAATTGGGTCAGTTTCATGAAAAATTTGTCCCTCCTAAAAAGACTCTAGCTATAATTTCAAGGAGCTTAAACGTGATGTCTTTTCTTCAAATGTTGAAAAATGTTCAAAAATCAATCAGTTTGCTTGTCTTTGGCTTTCTTGAGATCATTGACATTTTTCCAACTTTCTGTTGGCTATGTTAACTTGTTTGTGAGATGTAGCTATGCTTCAGCGTTACTGAAACTGTTTTTACAACTGGACCTCAACTTGTTTCAGCTCATCTTGTGGTTCTATCAGTAAGCTCATGCATACTTCTCATCACTCTGCTCACTCTGGCCTACGCGTGTGGACTGAATAGAGCGACTAACAAACTAGCTCCGAAGAAAAGGGGAGTACACTACGCTCCTCTCAAGTTCATGAGCGACCTGTGAGTGTCTATCGGGCTCTTGGAATAAAACCAAGAATCGAAGTAACTGTCTATTCTTGTAGTAAACTGTATTGCTCTATTCAAGTATAAGTAGCAGCCAATTCCATGCGACTATTGGATATCTGTCGAAAGCATAAGCGATGCGCTATCCCGGACGAAGCAACAACAATAAAAGTATCTATGCATTTTGTTGCGAAAAATCATTCATTTTTGGTATATTCAGTGGTGTTAGTTGTGGACGAAAAATCTGTTATCCAACAAAGCGAAGAACGATGAAAGTTATACTACTGATGTAACACAAAACATGTATGTACAGGTGCTTTAAGTATATCCATCAAAACTATAGAAAAATGTGTGGTCTTGTTGATTAAGTTTTCCCTCCAGTATCAAATCAAAATTATCTCAATTTCTGTCGCAATCATTTTACATAGTCGTGATGATTTTCTTATGTTTCCAGAAAAAGGTTTAAAATTTGCTGAGGCTCATATTTACTTTTTCGCTATTTGACGTATGATTTTTTTAAAAGGAAGTTGAGTTATTTCTTTTGTTCACAGGAAAGTATCGAACTGCAAAAAATTCGCGAAAAACGTGATTGACTTCTAGTTTCGAAAGTGGACACTCAATAGGGACATACAATACATCAACGTTGTCGCTATTTATTTGTTATGACTCTGAGGAACCACCATCCTCACTGACAGAGTAGATGATCTGAAATGTTGTTTCTAAAAACATATCTACCCAACTTTCAGACGCTTCATCGTTTATAATTTCAGATTCAGAACAGTCGTCTAAATATCAAGCAAGGTTATAGATACTTTGTACATATTTACCGTCACCAAACTCAACAATATCGTACAAAACTTCTGTTCCCTAATTCTTGTCAGTATTCAATGAGTTTATTTCAGTAAGGTTGTTCTGAGGCGGCAATTCAGCAGCTTTATCTTACCTTCTTTCAGACTCATAATCTTACTGATTGAGGAATTCATCAAAATTATCCTTTTTTTTCAAAAATGTGAATATATTTTTTTAATTTTGGCGTTAGGACACTTGATGATACAGAGCTGGTTGAAATGATGGTTAAAATTGCAACCACAGAAACCAGCTTTTTTCCGGATGCTTTCTAGCAGGTATATGTCTTACGCGACACACGGTTATCTATTGGGGTTCGTGATCTTACATCTTCAGATGCTCTCAATTGTCGTTAATCTCTTCTTTTTTTGGCCGAATCGTCCAAACAGGTTTCAGGCAGACGAAAGTTTTTGTGTGTCTCAATTTTTAGTTCTTCATTTAATGTAATTTGCTACAGATGGCTTTTTCGTAATACTTGTGCTCACTAACAAGATAGCGAGGCAAGATTGGATGATTTTTATTGCATTAGAGACAGTTAATTGAATTTGTTAATCTTTAAAATTGTTGTTATTAATCTTCAAAATTGTTGTTGGCCTGTGTTCTCAGTTCTCAGAGTCTTGTCTACCCGTTTTTGTGGTTGCGGAGTTCGAGGAGGAAGCTGTTTCTGCTGAATGGGGTCCGAAGGTTGGATTCATCGTGTTTGACTTAGTTTGATTCCATACGTCAAGCTCTTTTGTAGAATATGTAATTCTATGATCTCATATAGCCGGAAAACGCAGATAGATACTTGAATTGATATCCGGATTATTAGTTATAAGTTACAGGCATGATGATATATACGTATCAATTAGGGGTTTTAAAAAAAGCGGTATTTGGCCCGAAGTGAGAAATCGAAACCAGGGACAGGACTTCGCCAATGTCCCTGGCCAGTTCATTTTGCTCGGCCGGAAGTTTTCCCCCATAATCTCTCAATTGATTTGCGAGCCACAACGCCTCCGTTGAATTCATTGGTACGGTCATCTCGCACTCTACTCCATACTTGAAGTAGACGATAGTGATGTCAGAGATGTGGCGGTGTGTGCCGAGGTATGCGGCCACTTTCATTAGCTTTATACGCAAGGGGAGTTCTGTGGGCTGGTTCCTGCCCCAAAATAAGGGGGTAGCGTTCTCCCCCTCCTCAAACTGAAGGGCCCAGACGAAATGAGATTGGGTGGCCATGTGTTTTACGGGAAATTCGGCTCTAAATAGGACAAAATGGGACTTTTTATGAGTTAAATGAAAAGTTTGGCTAAAAGAACAGGTTACAAAATATTCAAAACAAATTATTGAAAGTTTATACCAAAAATTACTCACGTTTTAAAAGTAACTTGAATGTAGTAGATATGAAATAGGAATGATGCGCACAGCCCAAAATCGAATGTCCTATAATCCAGCAAATATTTGCAGTAAATATTTGTCGGAGACGAACGAATCGAAGCATGTGCATAATAGGGACCCAAAATGGTCGAAATTAAATACCAAGATGAGAATGATGAAGATATTTGAAATAATAAGAAAAGTTCAAGTAAAAGGGGATTTTGAATAAAACTATGTAGGTTTTGGATGCATTCCGGTAATAATTGCGACATGCCCTTCCCCTTTGTGGGGCCCCTCATGTTGCTGCCAATACTGGAGGTAAATAGCTTCCGATCCGTTTTGACCATGTTTATTCCCCGCGACGTAATTCCATTTCGGGGGACTTAGGTCGGTCCGGTACTCGTATATATGTACCCCGAGCATTTCGGCGAGCAGGTGCATGTCGGAATCAATGACCCCACGTGATAGTAACGTCGCATTGGGATCGTGAAAAGGATAATAGAACGAATCCAAACGTCCTCGTTCACGCAATTGCTGATCCTCTAAGGTCCGTTGCAAGCGGTACGACTGTACTTTTCTCCCGGTAATAAGGTAATGTAGGCAATCCAATAAACAAGAAGAAAGAGTGCAAGCGCCTTCGATCGTAATGGGTTCGTGCGTGTTGACGTTGGCACTATCGCAGTCTTGGGTGGCGATAGGTTTTTTCCCGGCAACGAAGACAGGGACACGAGGTTTATGCGATCGATTTCCCTTTGCTTTCTTCACCGGCGTCATAATCGTCCGGCATATTCGTTCGCGAGTCTTGGACGATAAATGTCGCATAGGAACCTCGTCAGATAGGATCATCCGGGCTTCAATACATTTAATGCACTCGAAACAGACATTTCGACAGACATCACGGAGGTCTCCCTCTATGAAATACTTCGATCGCGCTTCTTGGTGTAGATCGTTAGAGTTCCCCCGATGACTTAAGGTTGACCTATGTAAATTACGTAACACGGGGGTGACGTTAAGCTTGTGGAGAACGATTTTCCCATCTCGGCGTAGGTATCCATCCACGAGGGAATACTTCTTCGCTCTAAGGCAGAAGGCGGTTCTTTTGTTTCGGGCAAGGCCGGGGGGTATTTTCCGTCGTTCTTTCGGGGTAGCGCGGAGATATTGGGATATTTGGGTATATAATTCAAAATCCATGATAAAGATGATGAATCGAATAATATGTAATAAGATGAAGAAACCGTTTAGAACGCTACCGAATGATTGATTGGTAAATAATAAAATAGTTAAGTTAAGATTAAATTAAACTCGTGTTTAATTAAGTTCGTGGGATTAATCCCCCTCTTTAGTGAAAATAGTGAATGCAATAGCTCCCGCCAACCCCCCCCCCCCCCCCCCCCCCAACTCGGGAACTATAAGGGCGAACTTTATGAAATTTAATGGAGTGATACTAGAGATGATTTGACCCGGGCATGCAAAGCGCCGGACCCGCTTGACCCCCTGGGGGCCGAGTGATAACGGTTCCCGGAAGTGCAAATGGCCCCACCGGAAACCCTTAACTAATGATCCGATTGAGCTCATTTTTAAATATGTGGTAGCCCTGGATGAGGGAAGCTTAAGTTTGGAATTCCAGATCTCCAAGGTCACCCCGGCCCGATTTATGCCCTAAACAAACAAACCCCCACACGACTCCCGGAGGCTACTTCTCGACCCCCAATGACCCTAGGGAGCTGAAACTTGGAGGGATGGTAGATAGTGACATGGTCTATCGTATATTAGGATGATGACCCTACTGGGTGACAATGGCACGGGCTATTAGCACTTGGGAATATCACCCCTTTTAGGTGCTAATGGGCTATTTGCGAAAAATAATGCGCGAGGGCATATCGATTTCATGGCTTATATGTGTAGTATAACCCACCCCTGTAAAAAGGACCCCTATAGGTCTCAGCTCCCGGTTGACCTTTCTGGTGCTAATTGACCTTTCCCGGGAAAAGTGATAATGAACCTTAAAAGTGGGATAACTTGAGAAGTATTTGTCGGATATGGATGAAACTTGGTAGGTACGACCCCATGTGACCTCGAACCGATTATGGGAGACTTGACCCCGGGTGACCCCGGGTTGACCTTTACTTGACCTTTTGGAATTTTAGCCCCGAAACCCCTAAAATTAGCACCGGAAAGTAGCCCAAATCATATGTCTCGTAATCAGGGGAGTTAATAGAGATATGTTATTGATATTGGGTGACAATTTGCGTGCATAGGAAATTAGTTAGGCATTTCCTGGAATTCGATGGAATATCTTGGCTTAATGTATAGTGGTATATTGTTGGATTTAATACGAGTTAGTTAAATAAACATTGGGTTAAATTTTGACTTGGCGAATGAACTATTAATAGAAATGCGTCAATGGCACAGAAAAGTAGTCGCATATTAATTTGGCAATATGACAGAGGGAATAGGGAATTAATTAACATAAATATTAGAAATGTACTGGATATTCCATTGGCTTCTGGGAGATGTTTTTTTTGGCTCAATTGGACACTAGTTGGGGGAATGACTTAACCTGAAGGTCGATTAGGTTGAAATTTGAATAGGTTATGCATGGGAAATTTTGGATTATGATAATTAGGAAATTAAGTCCTTTGTGAATTTACCCTAAGTGTGGGAGACGGGAAAAGTTACGGGAAAGTTAAATAAAGTCCTTGGTAATGTTGATATGTAAATATAGCTTGGATTGAGTTGAAGTTGCATTTGCTATTTGTTTTGCATAGCTTTGATTGGCATTTGGAACCTGGCATTTAAATTAATGTGATCATGCCGAGTTTATGAACTGGAACGTTGCGTAGGAGGCATAAAGGTAAATGCTAAGACTTATAAGGGGATGGCATCTCTAACTAAAACTAAGGGTAAATAGACTTAAGGTACGAACGTTCCGGTCGACCTTTGCGACAAAAACAGAACAAAAATTAGGAGAGACTAATCAAGTTGGTTAGAAAAAGTTACGAAAAACCTTAAAGGAACAACTTCGCGAAAGTTGTTAATTTATCGGGTAGGGTAATTTTTCTAAGTACTTTCAAGAAGAAAGTGAAACTCAGAGAGGCACCTCTGGAAGTTGATACTAGTGAAGTGTTGATAACTGTTAGAGGCAGTTAGTTAATTAATAATAATCGCAAACCCTTCTCCTTAATTGAACGAATAATCTTTATCTGGGCCAATTATAGGCCATTCTGTAGTTGGATTATATTTATCTCTTAATTCATTCTTATTATCGAAAGTGTTGTTGCGAGCGATTATCGATTGACGAGAGAGGTACAGCCGGAAGAGCACCAAAAAAGG